TTGTCATATCATGACATTTTTTGTTCAACTACATCTTTATTCTTGTAATATTTTGACTTTTTCCCATTAAATTAAGACTTTATCCTCATAATATTACAACATTATCCCAATTTATTTCCTCAGTGTGGCCCTTATACTGAATTAGAATCAGCCAATGGGTGCAGCCCATTGAACTTTTGACCTCACTACTACTTCCTGTTAGGTGAAAGCATGTTTCTTGAGTTAGCATTAGCATTAGCAAAATGGAAACCTAAAGTAGGAGGGTTTTTTACTCTGTGAACATCCAAGTGTGCAGACTGAGGCCACACAAGGAGGGTGACTGCAGGTGAGGAGGTGGAGACGCTGGAAGTCACCAGGAGAGAGGAGGATGAAGAAGTGGAGGAAGAAGAGGAGGAGGATCTTCAGTGATAATGGACGTTAACAAACATTTCAGTTTCTCTGACGCTTCTCTTAACACACGTGGAAGTGTGAGCTGCATCGATTGGAAGCTACGGGAGGAACAGCAGTGGACTCTGGACAGGGATTGTTTTGGGATCACGTTTTAATGGTAAGTGATATGTTTCCCCCTTGTTGCCTGATAGAGATGTGATGTATTTGGTTCGTGAAGTTCTCTTGACTCCTTACTATGCACTATATTTATATGTTAACATAGGACTGGACTGAGGTCATTGTGTGTAGAAGTGTCACAGTTTTAAGCAACACTATCACAGATAATAATCAGTCGTCTGATGAGGTCTCATGAGAAGCACATGGAACTGAACTTCCATGTGTCAGAAATAAGAGAAAGAGAGAGAGATGGATTAATGACGTTTGAACCTCTTGTGAAATGTTTCCTATATGATTTAAAGTGTCATAAGAGTAAAAGTGGAATTGAAAAAAATACCTTTGGTCACACTTAGGCCGAAGTTAATTATATCATCAAGACCTCCAGAAAGTTTGGTTTCTGGTTTTTGATTGGAGACTTATCAGAAGTAACATCACTAACTCTTTATAAACATTGTTGAACTGCTGCAGTGCTCGATCATCCTCCTCTCACATGGGATGACTCAATATTACTGATTCATTAATGCTGGTAACTGATTTTTACAGTCTGTGGCTGAAAATGCAAACCTGTGTGTGTGTTTGCGTGTTCCCGTCTGTGGCATCTCAGAGTTGTGCGTCAGTAGTTTGGCTTGTAATGATTCAATCTAAATCCCATATCTCTCTTTGTGTTTAGATAACAGACTAATGGTGTACCTGTTGCACAGGGTTGCCAGGTCTGCACCACAAAACCAACCCAAATAAACAAGCAAATATACCAGAACTGAATATATATTGCTGCCAAACCATATACTGTGTGTTTAAAGGCCAGCAGCATT